GGAAAAAAAAAAAAAAGATTAATTCATGTGTTTTCACTTTTTTACAATTTCGCTCTTGGTGTTGAATGGGCCTTCGCTATTGAACCAATTACTAGTCCGCTATCAAGAGTTATTTCAAATCGATTTGTTCTGTGCGTTATCTTTGACCTTTGAAGGAGATAATGTAAATTAATTTAATTTTATCATCAATGTGCTTAGAATTTGCAGTCTATTCTAGTTTTTTTTTTTTTTCTTCACTTATGAATTCTTGTGAGCAGAGCAGAGAACGTTTGTAATTTCGCCGATTTGCTGAAATGTAGCTAGCACGAGCCAGGTGCTGTCATACAGTAATCACAGGGTGTCAAAACTTGATTACCATTTGCTATCAAATGATGCTGCTTCCACTGTAGTAATTTTTTTCCTAAAACACACCTTTGTTTTGTGTATGTATGTATGTGTGTGGTTTTTTTTTTCAAACACGATTCCTTGCCAGCCCGTCTCAAACAGTCTTAGAATCTTGTAAGTCAAAGCAATTACTATGTTATTTTAAGTTGTAAGTTATACATTTATAATATTAAAATTTTTTTATGCATTTACTACTCTTGTTTTTATGAATTTCTACCCAATGTGTTGATATTGTGAATATGTATTATATGTAGAAACATGCATAAATTTGAATATAGATGAGATTTCATGTAAAGCCTGTTTCACAGCTATCCAGTTCAAATTGAGATTCATATTGAATGGATCTTTTACATAAAAGGTCAAAATCAGATGTGTTCTATATTTCTCTGATTTCTAGAGTTCTGCTGCAGCGTTCTGTGGTCTAGCTGTGGCCCACAGGCTTTACATGTATGTTTTGTTTCCTGGGCTGAACCGTGTCTAACCTTATGGACCTGTTGTAATCTAGGTGCAATGGCTACTAAAGTGCGGAGACATGATTCACGGGTCCATCCTTACCAAAGGATAGTGACCACAGACAGAGGTTAGTTAGATGAGATACTTCTACCTTTTTTGAAATTCTTTGTGTTTCTTTATCTCTGAACGGGGGATCATACATGTTTATACACTGCGTATCTTTACAGTGGAAATGTGTTTACATATGAAATGCCTCTGGAAACCCTCAGGTTTGCGGAAGTTTATGACTGTAACTGAATTAAATGCCATTTGTTTCATAGCTTTATATATCAGTGCATTTCTTAACTACGTCTAGATCCAAAAAAAAATTTGATTGTATTGTTGTTGTTGTTTTTTTTATTTTTTATTTTTTTTATTTAAATCGTTTTTAAAATACAAAGGGACTGGAATAAGCTTCCATTGCCAGCCATTGGCTAAGCCAGTGGTTCTCAACCTTTTTTTTCACTGGGCCGCACTATGGTCCAATATTGATTGCTGCATAGTATAGGTGTTTCCTTTTGCCTGAACTAGAGCCCTGCATTTCAGCCCGGGCCCGATGGGCCCCGACTTTTTTACGCCCCTCGGGCCGGGCTTCGGGACAATTTTCATGTCATAGTTCAGACGCGCGCCGGGCATCGGGCTTGTTTTAGGCTTCTCCTATTTTTATATTTTAGACATCCATCAATTAGTGATAAAAAAAAATAAAAATTGCAGCGCTGTAATAAACTAGTGTTTTCTGAGTCTGTGTCGCAAGGATGAAATTTTTAGATTTTTTTAGAATAGATTTTATTTTAGGCAAGTCATGATGATTTGAGAAGGCTAAATTGAGCTATGATCAGCTCACTGTCTGCCGCTGGCCGCTTGGTCGTTACTTTAAAAAACAAAACACTGCTGCGACTACTCTTGTTGGTATGCGTTCCTTCGCTGGCATTTTCTACATTTCGTTTTTCTCCCTTAATAACAAATGTGTCCATTCTGATGCTCAATTTTACCGAACTAATGGCTGCTGATGACTATTTGAATTGAATTCTGCCAAAATGCGCACTTGTAATTGTTCGTTAAATGCGTAACGTTAATTACATGAGTACAGGTCTGCTCATGTCTGAAAATAATATATGAAAAACAAAATTATTTTACATAACAAAAACATTCTAGCTTATATTTGTTTAGTACATTTTTAAATTAATGTAAAAACTAAAATTAATTGTAAAACTGAAAGCTATTTTTTTAATTGTGTTCATCATGGTGGGCCGCATTTGAATTCGTGACGGGCGAAATATATATATATATTTTAAATATCTCAGGTTAAGCTCATCGGATTTTGTTTGTTCAACTCTTTAAATGTAAAAATGTACTTTACACCCAGTTATATTTTCGTTTTACTGAAGGTACTATTTTTATAGCAGATGTATTTTTGAATCCTGTGTATACGTTCATTAAAAATAAAGAAAAAATCCAAAGCGATATTTCGCGACCTTTATCTGTTTATTTGCGTAACGTAGCACTAGCTCTCTGATTCCCCCTCACAACTAATTACACTGTTCGTCACACGCATTTCGACTCAAGACACTAAAATGTTACTAGTTTTTGTTTGTATGTTTTTCTCGTTTGTCTATGTGATACCTCTCTGCTTTTGTTTGTGGGAACATGGGGCATTGTAGCGCTTTAATTACATGTAATAACGTTCTGATTGAACTGATCATGACGTTAGAGTCATGATCATAACCAGGTTTAGCCTGTGTTTGTCTCTTGGCCGTGGAATTAAGGGGTTAAACAAAGATTGCATTCATTTTGCTGTTAAAATTATGTCATTCCGGTCTCTTCTTGCTAACTAATATCTTTTCTACCTTTTTTTTTTTTTTTTTCTTTTTTTTTTCCTTTTTGTTCCTAACCACCTAGCCGCCACCGGCAACTAACAAATGACCTCTGA